AACATAACTGTAGTAATTATGAATACACAAATAATTGAAGATTAAGAAAACACAAACTTAAAAGATAAATCCAGATTCTGTTTTACTATTGTTTTCAGTCAGAAGTTGTGTTGCTTAACTTTGTTGGAGTAGTATACACGTAACACTCTCTTTCCCAGTCAGTATTGAGGGACACATTTTCTGTGTGGTTTTATTTTATAAACTCTACATACTTTTTTCTTGTGTAGATACTATTGTTTATTGTTACAGGGAAACTGTCACCATTTAGACTGAAGTATGATGTATAAAACAACCTTTCATTTGAACTCTGAAATTGAAAAACTAGAAAAATGTGCAATCTTTTCAAACTATATTAGAATAAAGTTTTTTACGAGGTCCAGCACTCAGAAGGAGACCATGGAGACGTCGAAAAAGAAGTAGTCGAAAATACATCGAACATCACACACTTAGTTAAAAATCATGTGACTAAGAGAATACATGGACTCTCGGACAGAGGTCAGGGAGCCTACACGGAGAAATGGACAACTTCTTTCTGGAGCGGGAATTCCAGTTACTGGAAATAACAACGTCTCTTAACAAGCTCCTGACACTGCTTACGGCACAAGAAATATTTGTTCAGTCCTGCAGGCATAACGATGAGTATTTGAACTTTCTGATGAGATCAGAACTTTTGACAGTCGTAGGGACATTGACACATGAAGCTCCTTGTCAACTATTTGTATTACCAAAGCGAACCTGGACATGAAAAAATTAAACGAGTATCACCTCGCTGTAATACAAGCTAAATCCACAACAACAAAATCCTCACATAGTAATATAAGAACACGCCTAATATTTGAAAAAACAAGGATGTATAAGGATATATAAGAACCGAAACAGTTGAAGAGCTATAGGACTATGAGTTCTCGAGGGTATCATCAGATCACTAGTCGGTACTTCGGTACTGACATGATTTAAGTCGAACCTTTCTAAAATTGTCCGAAATTATAAGAAAATAAGGTTTCAACTCCCATAGCAAATTTGACCTTAGATGGATTTGGCTATTATATTTTGTCCCTTTTGATCTCCTCCAGCAGCGGTATCGACCTAGTGCTGTATATAATAAAAACACTTTATAAAGTTCATTCTTCCGACGCGTTTTTCTAGATTTACCTTCACCTAAGCTCAACTTTTCCCAAGGATATTCAAACCTAGTTTCTTAGCCAACTTTAACGGCCATACGAAATACTTCCACACATATTAAAGCAAGTTTCAAGTGTGCCATAGATGAGTTATCGTTATGGAATATGCGTTTCACAACTGATAGCGGATATGGTCTTACTGTCGTAAATACAATCCCATCCCCTTTTCACGAATGTGACCTACCGAATTAGACTTATTGCCGAGTTTGTACTAACATGAGCAACACGACGGGTGCCACATATGAAGCAGGATCTGCTTACCCTTCCGGAGCACCTGGGATCATCCCCAGTTTTTGGTGTGGTTCGTGTTGAATAGTCTTTAGTTTTCTATGCCGTGTTTTGTGTACTATTTTGTTTGTGTACTATTTTGTTTGTCTGTTGTTCTTTTATTTGGTTTTGTCAGTTTATTTTCGACTTATGAGTTTGAATGTCCTTCTGATATTTGCGCCTTTCTTTTACAAGTTGCAGACTCTGAATAGGTAGATGTATTGATAAAGTGATTAGAACCGAAGTCTGTCAGACACGCCTTTAGCACTAGTGAATCGAACGCCAAAATTTCATCAAGAGGTCTGCAGAAAATATGACATTGGGCTGCAGAAACATCACTTGAATATACCTATTAACTTCCAAAACTTCACTCTCTCCAACGAAAACTGCCCATTAAACCCTCAGAAATGATTTTCAATACGAAAAAAAACGTACCCGATCAAGGCCAGTTCAATTATTAACGAATTATTTCCCCGTCTTCTTGAAAACACACGAATCTTTAAAACCACTAAAAAAAAATAATCAGAAAAACAAGAAGTTAGTTGATAAATTGGTAGCTATTATATATAATAGGAAACTTATTAATATTTCGTCATTTTGAATTTCAGGAATTGCACGCGATAATTATTCACAAGCAGAATGTGTAAGAGCTTTTTCCAATGTCCGTTTGTTTGACAATGTACATGTACCCCTAAAAAAAACAACAACAACAAAAATATTTGTCATTTCGGGGCCTTTTATAGCTGACTATGCGGTATGGACTTTGCTCATTGTTGAAGGCCGAAAGGTGACCTTTAGTTGTTAATTTCTGTGTCATTTGGTCACTTGTGAAGAGTTGTCTCATTGGCAATCATACCACATCTTTTCTATATTGTTAAGTCATTGTTAAAACAGATCTCATACGGCACAAATTATTGAAAGTCTTCGTTTGACATGCATTTCCTCACATTTTATTCCATAAGAAGACACACATCAGTTTGCTATGACATATTACAATCAACCGTTCACTAACAACTTAAAATATCATATAGTAAGTATAATAAACTCCTTCTTGTTTTTATAATTTTCACCTTGTTGTCTTATGTTTGAGAATACTATCTTTACCTCCAAAGTAAGTTCTATCACTTCCAGCAGTGATATCATAACAGACAAATTCAACTCTCTTTGTCATTTTCTTCGTGATAATGAATTTTAAAATTCTAGTAAGGTAGTGTAACAGCAGCACTATCTGTAACAAGTTGCAAGGCTACATTTCTGTTCCTATCCTATTTACCCTCATTTTTTAGTTGTAGTCTAAATTTTTCCGACCTTCATCCAGCCGGCCTCTATTACAGGACCTATCAATTGTATTTATTGTTAATTTGTTCTCGTCCTGAACATGCATGAAATATTTGCCACTGGACGTAAAACAACCAAAAATCAATCAAAGCTAGTGTATATGTTTAGGACTGTAACAACATTTTACTTCGTGGATGTTTAGCGTACAGTGAATCAGACGAAACACTTAATGGTGGTCTTTTCTGGACAGTAAACGATTGTTGAATACTTTTTATATGTTTCAATTAATCAACAATTCTTTTTTTTATTAAACTAAACACTTTGCTGCACTCGTCAATGAATGCTGTTCTCATTCGTAACTTCGCTGTTCTCGTTTAGGCGTGTTGTTCCAACACATATTATATTTGTTTTTATTATTGTTTATAAATACTGTATTTGCGTTTGAAACTTATTATATAAAAATCAATTGGAATTCTAATCTACAAATATAGATCTTTAATTCATGACAATTACCAAGAAATAAAAGAATAACTCCATAGTATATCTATGCATATAAAAGAAGTTATGATTGTTGTAATTATAAAAAATGCTTAACTATTAGCGTGTGAAGGTTTCTTTAATTGAGACTTTTCTAATCTCTATCTTCAGTTTTAATTCATATAGGCCATTACATTTATTGCTAGTTTGAGATTTTTTCTGGCGTCTGAATTAAGTCTTGTTAGACTTTGCGAAGGGCGTTATATGTCCGCGCTCCGTCCATATAGAAATCATAGAAACTTTTTACCGAGGCTTTGCATGGGCGACAACTATCTGTCTTGAATCTTCATACATCATTTGTTAGTCGATAGATCAAACATTCTTTGAACCTAAACCGTTTTTAGCGACGAATATCTATCTTTTATTCAACACCAGTAGCAAAACCACTCGTATTGTGTTTTGTCCTTCACTTGGAATACGCTTTCACCTTGCTGCATTAAATAATTACATGTGCATTTAATTTTAGGTGTTTATCTATGGATATATCAACGGTGACCAGAATATATTAACTGTATTTGTCTCTTCGTCCAATCTATCGTATGCAAACGTTGCACATATCAATCTAATTGCAACAAGTTGCAGCCATGTTTACATGTTCTTTGCAAAACTAACGCTTAGTCGTAATATATAAGCGAAAGCACAAGTGCGCCAATGACAATAGAGGTTAGATGGAAACAAGGCTTCAATTTGTGCAACAGGTGGATACATGTAGTTCATACATACAATTTCCTCATATTGCTCAAGGTTGTATATATAATGTTTTGACATCTCATTAAAACTTACTTTTGTGTGTTGGAAATCTGTGTTTTGGAATTACATGCAGTATGTCAGTTGTTTAGTGAAAACTGTCCACTTTGTAAAAACGAAATCAAATAAATAACCTCAATATTAAAAAAAGAAGATGTGGTACGAATGCAATGAGATAACAATCCAACAAGGATGTAATACCGGGTATTTATAAGTAATAAATTTACTTAATTAGTTTTATTAAAATTAAAATATTTTTTCCCTGTATTTCAATTTGCGTATCCAATGCCGGGGATCTCGTTAGGAGATGAAGTATGTCATAAGTTAATGTTTTGTTTTTTTTTGTGTGGAAAATTGGGTCTTAATTATAGATTTCTGATTGCTTTCTAAAATGTATTCACGTCTTATAGACTTGGTGCGTTAACGATCATGGAATATTGTACAGACATCAGTCAATCTGTTTATGTATTCAACCCTATATTAACTCGCCTGCTCTTACATATCAGCACTCATTTGAGTATAACGAAATCTGAGAACTATATTTTAATTAGATTGAGACATCAGGCAATAGTTGAAGACTGTACGTGCCCTTCCGGATAACTTTTGATCATATCTTTCGTGCTATGCTGTCACGTTGACGTCATCACTTTTTCGATTTCTTATTTCTGCATTTGGCAAAATGTACTGTCGGATCCTAACTGTAAATCTGGTGCTGAAAAAATGATACCGTTAATTTAATTTGAAACAGAGTGCAAACTCTCTTATAAAATTTGATGTCAAAGTTGCTTAAATCCTTATCTGCAATATAACATCTCTAAAGGCTTAGCGATAAAATCAGAATGGTTTGAACATTTTCAAAACAAAAAAATTACGATCCCTGACGTTCATATACTTCTGCATTGTTCAGGGCGAGTTTAAATAAAAACTTATTTGTATCTTAAAACAAAGTGTACATCATGTGCAATGTTACGTAACTTGAAAAATGCGAAATACTAAACAATTTAGTTTTATTCATCTATTATAACAAACAAGAAATGTATAGATTCACGAGTTCGTTATTCATTTGTCAATGTTTTGCATTTATACACAAATACAGATTTACAACCGTTATTAATAACAAACAGTTTTGTGAAGTCATTGTTTAAACACATTCCATAAGGATGGTCAATTTCATCGTCTCGGTTCAGCATTGTCTCGCATTTTGTCCAATCTGAAGACATTCTCTGTATGTTGTGTGTGTAATAGCCCCCGAAATAAACATAACCTTGTCTATCAAGAATTACTCCTGTTACCGATGAAGTGTCCTTACTGTATACATGAGTTCCATCTAATTTGATACAAAGTAGTTTGTTGTTATATCGAACTATCAAGTGGTCATGACTATCATCGTATAGCATGAAGTAAAGATTTTCGGATGTTTGTTGCATATATTTTAGAACGGTTCCATTGATGTCTAATGTTTTGATAATACCACCTTGACCACTAATGTAAATTCGATCGCGGCTAGCAGTGATACCGAAACATCTTAATCCAACGTTAACTTTGTCGCTCGTTGTCATCTGTTTAGTCTTTATGAATTGAATAGAGTTTTCGGCAGGAAGTGTAACAATAGCACAGTCAGTACCAGGTATCACAGCAACACCAAATAGAGCAGCGGAAAAGGTTATTTCGGTTTCATAATCTTTACAGTCTCTATAGACATAGAGTTTCGGATCTGATAATGAATGATTTGTAAGGAGCAGCTTATTATCATCTGTGATTGCTAAATCTCTAAGAACATATGTAATCCCAGTTTTAAGTTTTAATTCCGTATCCTTTTCGAATCCAAATATCGTTTTTGTTGCTTCTACCTTGATCTGGGCCTGCTGAAGTTTCTTTGTTATGTATTGAACTTGACACGAGTTTAAAGTCTCTAACAGTGATCCGAAAGAGTCAATCGTTATAACTTTCTTTTCATCGAATGTTATATTGATTTCTTGTGACCTGGATACAAGCTTCTGAACTTTCTCTTCGGCACTTTGACTATTTATTACTTGTTGATGCAAACATAGAAACAGCTGACTATCAGATCCATAATCTTTCAGGAAATAAATTTCGTTCTCGTTTTCTTTTAATTTGTCCAAAACTTGTGATATTTCCTCTTTTTGTTTACTGATTTCGATCTCGTGTTTACGTTGGAGAGATGACAGTTCGGCATGAAGATTGCGTTCTAGATCATCTATTTGTTTCAATAATCGAGATTTGACTTCACGGATCTGTTTGGTCATTACAGATTTAGTTTGCGCCAGAGATTGTAAGTTCGATTCTCTGTTATCGTGTAAATCATTTAAGGTTGTAATAAGATGATTTATGTCCGCCATTATGTCGGTGAACAATGCAGACTTTTTGACATCTTTCGAGGCATGTTCTAATGGCAGAACGTTTTCACATTTCCTGTGGTCTTTAGGAATGCAGGCTCTACAGCAAACGATATCATGATCTTTGCAGTAGTAATCCAAAAGCATATCTGGATGGACGTTGCAGATTTTTTTCGCAGATATAGGGATATTTGAATCGACAGACGACAAATCGATAACATGATGAGACTTGAATGCCTTGAAACGGGTATGTGACTCAGCGCAGTCTGGGCAAAGTCGCTCTTCACAGTCGGAGCAATATTTTGTTGCTGATACTGACGAATTGGCCTCAGTGCATGGATCACAAAAACTCGCTGTAGCCATTTAAATAGTCTGGAAAAAAACTAATTTGTTATTTACGGCGTGTTAATCTTAATATATAAAATCATTAAATGTCCCTCATGTAGCGTTTTTAATAATTTCGAAATGTTAATTAGTTGTACAACAATGTAATTACCAAGTATTATTGAATAGCGGTATTTTGAAATCACATATTGAAAAATCTGGATATTCATTTACTTAAAAAAAAAGAAATTGAGATTTACTACAACACATTGGTCAGTGGAATTGCATTTCAGCAAAAGATATAAATGCATAATGAGATTAATTTATATTGATAGTACTTAATGAACAATTATTACAAGTATTAAAATATCAGCAAACTAGAACGGGTAATGAAACTGACATAAATAAGTAACCCTGTCCAGAACCAAAACTTATTGAAGTAGATGATTTTATGTTGTAAAGATATGCCTCTCCTTAGAAATTCAATAGGTCTTTGACCATTACAGAGTGAATAAAGGCAACAGTAGTATACCGCTGTTCGAAATTCATAAATCATTTGAGAAAAAACAAATCCGGGTTACAAACTAAAACTGAGGGAAACACATCAACTATAAGAGGATATCACAGTAACATAGTTTATCTGTGGTTATTTATGTTTACTTTTCAATACATTAGCTTGATAACATTATAACATAATTAAGTTATTAGAATTTAACTGAGTGTGAATAGATCACAACATAGTTTTTAGCATCTGTGAGATTAACCTTGACCTTCACTCAATGCAAATCAATGAGGTGTAAAATGTAGGCCACGCCCCTCGTGTCTAACGTTTTTTAAGTTGCTACCTTATTCATTTAGAGGCATCCGACCCTAATTCAAATAGGTGTCATGGATTTGAACAGCCCTATTTAGGTCAGTGAACCATTTTATTTATAGTGTTTGGATATGCTGCTCTTTACCGAATGAAGTCTTACCAATAGTTATAGGATTTTTGTTTACCAAGTGTCTGAAAATATGAACACGAACATTAAACTTAACAGAAGTCAATAAATTTAAACATTTATGTTAATGTGACCTGCATGTGTAAGGCGTGTTTTAGAAACTCCATTACAAAAGTTGCAAGATGTCTGTTCTTCTTTTACTGTGAGATAAAAAGTAGTAACTGAGATTTGACTTCCAATGTTAAACTTCATATCCATAAGGAAAGTTAGTTCGGACGGACCTAAATTTTGTAAGATACTGCTTTACTCTTCAAAAGGTATCCCTCATCAAAGTTTTTACTTTGTAAAATTATAATTGCTCAAGGCAAGGCAAACTGACAACTAAATAAAAAAAAAAAATCCAAAATTGCGGTAATGGAATTGAACCACTAATTCATAGCCCTGTAAGAATATGATTTCTATGTTGAATTCTGAATTTGCAAGCATTGATAGCTTAAAGTTCAAATAAAGTTACAGTCACTTCATGTCAAATCTTTACCTTCTTCTGACTTGTGGTGAAAAATTCAACATACCTTTATACCTTAATTGCATATTAGAGCGCACCGTTTCCCGGAAGTTTGTTAGTACAAAAACTGGTACCTTTGATCTTAACAACAGGGTAAATGTGCCATCCAATTATAATTGCATTAATTATTCAAAATAAACATTCAATAAGGATTGTACAGTGATTTCAATTCCTTAAGCTTTCATTTGAAAAAAAAAAATACCCAAATATTTGACTCATCCACAAAGTTACAGCTATGCGTAGAAACTATTTTGTCTAGAACTTGTACTACTATCTAGTATACTCTTTCTAACAGGACCCGAATTAGTGGTTCTATACATATAACAACACCAAACTTGATATATATATATATATATACTTCTGCTTTACCTAATTTCCTTCTATGATCCATTTTTTAGCATAGAAAAACACATAAAGCTTTTGATGAAACACTATTTCACTGAATTCAACCTCAAATTGGACCGATAGAAACAGATGCCTAATACAAAGAAAACTCCATATGGATACTAATAGTGACCAGTTTGAGACTTTTTCAATTATCACTTGTTCTTATTTGTTAATATTTACCCAATTAACAATTTTCTCACCTGTGTGTCTTATTTGTATCAGAGATTTTTAAATGAATATACATATAGTGGTCCAAACATAAAACATAGTTGAATTTTTTGTCCCCCCTTTTTTTCTACAGAAAAGGAGTGTGTTTTGGTAAAAACCATACTTTTATGTAAAAAATGGATCAATAAGAACAACTTATATATCTCTTAGCTGGGCTAATTCCTTAACTGACTGAAAATTGTATTTTAACTGAGATTTTGGAATTCCTTCATAAAAAAATACCAATTTCCTTAGACTTAAATGATACACTACGAAACCAAATAAAAACAATAAAACATGAAACTCACATAGATGATTTGACCAACAGCTATATTTTTACTATAAACTGGTCATGATATACATGTTTCATAGATTTCAGTCTTAAATAATGGAAAAATGTAAACTTCAGGTTAAGTCATAACTGTATGCATGCTTAAAAAATTGAAATACCCTATATTGTAGCATGTTGGTGAAACCAACATTTAATTTATTGTTTCATTAAAAAAAATGAATGTAACATGATGAATGAAAAAAAGTTTGACCAATTTGAACTGTAATGGTTATGATTTCTAAAATTTGAATTTCACATGCCTTTCAGTTGTAGGAATAAAACCACTAACTTATAGCCCTCTGCTTTCTATGTTAAATTCAGAATTTTCAAGCATTAATGGCTACTTTGTCTTAAGTTCACAAAAAGTGGCAGTCAATTCATGACAAAACTATACCTTATCCTGATTTGTGCTGAAATATTAACATATCTTTAATTGAATATAAAAGCGCATTGGTTCAAGGAAGTTAATTGAAAAAAAAGTTAAAAAAAAATATAAGAGTGCACTGGTCCCCGAAAGTTTGTTAGTACAAATACAGGTACTTCTGATCTGCACAACAGGGCAAATGTGCCCTCCAATTATAATTTCAAATATTTGTGTTATTATGCAAAATAAAATTTCAACAAGGGTTGTACAGTGATGACAAGTCCTTATGCTTTCATTTGATACCAAAATTACCCAAATAGTTTACTTATTGGCAACGTTGCACAAGTTTCTAACGGGTACCACATGTGGATCAGGATCGGTTTACCTGAGATCATCCCAGGTTTTGGTGGGGTTCCTGTTGCTCAGTCTTTAGTTTTCTATGTTGTGTCTATTGTACTATTGTTTGTCTGTCGGTCTTTTTCCTTTTTAGCCATGGCGTTGTCAGTTTATTTTCGACTTATGTCAGATAATAGATATAAGAAGATGTGGTATGAGTACCAATGAGACAACTGTCCATCCAAGCCACTGGACTATACATAAAGCGACACATTACTTATCATTAGAGGAGCTGCTGATCTATACTTAGATAAGAACGGTGTTGAGGACTTAGCCAGAGCGAGCAGAATTTTGAGACTTAGGAACAACAGAGTAGATGTGGGGACACCACATATATAGGCCCATCTGCCCTATTTGCTGCCACTTATTAGTATTAATGCATTGGGTGGTAATTAAACCCATGTGTTGTTCTATATGTACATGTACATATATGATATATATATGTATATGTATATGTATATCAAATGCAAACAAGAGGCTGTCAGAGAGACAGCAAACCGGATTTTCCTGAAGAGGTCGAACCCTGAACAGTTGAGCAAGTATGGACACAACATTTAAGCTTAAAACAGCTCTGAATTTGGATTGTGATTGAACATTTGATACAGCATGGGTTTGTGACACAAAATAAATGTGGTCAAAGAACTGAAAAATTTGAAATTGAACATTTACCTATTATGGTCCAATATCCAAAATCTAAGTACATTGCTAGAATCAGCATACCAAAGAACCCCAATAATTCAATTTTTGATAAAATACTTCTTAGTTAAACCATTTCTGTTCAAATGGAAATAACTCAAACTTTATTTTCCATGAACCAATAATGTAAATCTAAAATTAAATATGATTTAACCATAGACTCTAAAATTAGATATGATGTTATATTTATTTTTAAATTATAATCAAATATAATTAATAGTTTTCTAATAAATCTGTCACTCCAATTATAATTGGGTGATTGCATTGACAATTACCAGATGTGTGTTATCTTATCACTTAGTGTAATCAAACTTTATATATATAGTTGATAGTTCCCAATATTTTTTCTTTCATTTGTAACATACTAATATATATCTGCAACTTATCTTATCTTAATTTTAAATTATAAATAATATATTATTATCAAATGAATTTTCAAATCTGGAACCCCAAACAGGATCAAGTAAAAATTAAAATTAACAGACACAACAAAACAATTATATACATATATCTCTCAGAAAATTAGTTTTTACAAAATAACAAACACACCATAAAATTCTTCAAACAATTTACCAAAGAAAAGAAAAATTAATAATGAAAATCATACTTGCAAATCTGAAGGATTATTTCCCTTTGAACAGAACTATAGTTTAACATAGTACTCTAACATTACATATATAATTATTAGTAATGTAATTAACTTCAAAATGTTTATCTCTTAAAAACCTTTAAAACTTATCTGTAATTATCTTCAAAGTGTCTAATAATGAACAGTAAATTTCAAACTTCATTTATACAGTCCTACTAGTAAATTTCAAACTTTATATATACAGTCTTACAGATCTTATCAGGAAACAGAAAATTTTCAAATAAATCTGTCACTCCAATTATTATCATATGCAAAGATATTTCCCAGATCTAATTAATAATGAAAATCATACTTGCAAATCTGAAGGGTTATTTCCCTTTGAACAGAACTATGGTTTAACATAGTACTCTAACATTACATATATAATGAATAGTAATGTAATTAACTTCAAAATGTCTAATAGTATAGCTTAAAATCATCACCACTTAGGAAATAGAAAATTTTCAAATAAATCTGTCACTCCAATTATAATTGTGAGATAAGACATTTACCATATGCTTATGATTACAAGAGAAAAATATTTAAAAATACCACTTTTGAATATTAAAAATGGCAATAACTCAAAAAGGAGAAATACTATAATCGTGAAAATTGAACTTGACCTTCATTTAGTCGCGAGAAACAACATATCTAAATTTGAAAAAAAATCATTACAGCGTTTTCATGTTATTGAAGAGACACTGTTTAAAAGCCACCCGCCCGTCCGCCCGCCCGCCCGCCCGCCCGCCCGCCGTACTTCCCCAAATCAATAACCGATATTTCCTTCGAAAATCCGGTTAAAATGCAGCTGTAACTGAAAATATGGTAATTTTACATCATTATAGCCTCATTTTTATAAGGTCCTAGCTAGACCTTTTCTTAGTAAAGGTGTATTACATAACTCTGAAAGCAATACAATCCAGAGTTCTCCTCAGGATTTTTTGTATAGCGCTTTGGTAAGCGCACAATATTAGATTGTTTCGATATCACCTTAAGTGTTGTGTTTGCGATTTGATGTTACATTTATTTACAACTACCATGTTTAGTTATAAAATTAAATAGAAAATGACCTGCATTTTTTTATACATGTGCCATGTACATTAACAGAAATGCAAATAAGTGACATTTTTATTATTAAACTTTAAAAATTTAAATGCTTAGATAACCTAAATAATTTGATTTCATTACCACCCGTCCCCAAATGTAGCACTGTGGGTAAATTTTTTTCTCACTTTTAGTTGTTTGACTTATAAACTAGTTATATATCCTTCACAGCTTCATAATTTACTGACACATATTTAAAGAAGGTTTTCAATGACAAAATTGGAATTTTATTTATTAACTTTTATTTACATCTATCAAATTACAATTTTTCAAACTAAAATTGGTATATCCTTTAATATCAAAGGAAGAAATGGAATAACTCTTTCCATAAGTACTAAAATGTTACTAAAGATATGTTTAAAAAAGGCTAACATATTTGATCATATTCAAGATGAACATGATAAAAATCTTTTTTTTAAGGCGTCTTTTTTTATTATTAAAGGTGGATTATCAATATAGAAATGTTTGCCAATTGAAACATTACAACCACCTTTAAAATTTGTGTTTGGTACTTTTATGAATATTTGAAATATTGCCACCAGAAATATTTTACAAGATTTGACAATACTGTTTTAAGCACTTTGTCCACCAAAATTGTCTCCCTTACGCATTTCCTGTTTACACCAATGACATGTCTTTTAAGTATCATTAGAATGCCATTCCTAATCCAAGCCATCCACTGTAAATATAGATTTTAAAATAATGTTTAATTAAATGTAACTGAAAAATGGATGGCAAATCTCGATATTTTATATTTATTTTTCGTTTAGTTATCCAATATTCGATTTTGAAAATAGCGATGCAAGGACAAGTAATCGTAAAAAACGGGCTTGTAATGGACAACGGGGATGCTTTTCTCAAAACAATACAGGTTCGACAGTTTAGTTGTAAACTCGAAAAAGTAATGAAATAATCATAGATGTTTAAAAAAATGGACGAGACCACGTTGTCCATGTTGTCAGAGAAAGGGTAAAACTTTCCTTAAATACTTTTGGTATGATTTATTGAGCACTTTCTACTCCTTTCAGAAAGTTTATGCATCTTTTAATTCTTTGAAAGCATTCAGAAAGAAAAAAAGTCTTTTTGACAGAAAAACTTCTGCAAAAGCCGAACTGGTCCCTGCGATATTTGACCTATGTCTGCAGCTATAACTTTGTAAACAAAATACATACGCACCGCGTGGATATAACCGTATTACTAATTTTTTATTCTTAAAAACTTCTTAAATCTTATTAAAGAGCATTGTCTTTCGTATGAATATCAAGATGATTCCGAGTATTATTGTTTTAATGATTTAAAAGTTCAGCTGACAAGAAAGGTTGACATTCTTTCAAGAACTATTTTGTCTAGCGATTGGTTGTCATTGGTATGTAAAAAAGCCAAAACCATGACAAAACGGATCTATTTATATTCTGATTTTTTTACGGATTGTAAAGACATTCACATAAAAGCGAAAGCTCGTATAAATATGAAAAATATACCAAAGGAATAGCCCAAAATACCATTTCATACCAATAAACATACGGACAGGTTAAGAATGAAATTATGTATAGTACATAAGTATATAAAATACGGAACCGAGTTCGGAAAGCGGCTTGGAAGTCTGGTCAATGGTAAAAGAACATTGACTGCGTCATTTTCCAAAAATGAACAATTAATTTCTTACTATATTTATACAGTCCTATATAGCTTATAATCATCAGCACTTAGGAAACAGAAAATTTTCAAATAAATCTGTCACTCCAATTATAATTGTGTCATAAGACATTTACCATATGGTTTGTAATCTGATAACAGGTGAAAATTATTTAAAAACAATTTGTGTAATCAAACTTTATATATATAATTAACAATTTCTGTTCAAAGGGAAATAACTCAATCACATTAGAAATACCACTTTTGGATATTAAAAAGGGCAATAACTCAACAAGAAGAAAAGATAAAACCGTGAATATATATATATATGTATATGCATATATATATATACCATGTATATCACCTTTAAAATAAAAATAAAACAAGGTGATCAAATAATCTCAAAACTGAATTATGACTAATATTCACAATGTTATTCAAATTTATTTTGGATGTTTCAGATATATTTTATGGTTACTGGACAATTTTAACCATTAACTTAAGCATAGTATAGATTTATGGTGTCAGTCGAGTTAAGTTAATAATGAAGTGAACATTTTTTTTTATTAAAATATATATAAAATAGTATATAAAGCAACTTAATAAATTTTAAAAATGACACCTTTGTTTTGTAAATTAAATTTAAATAGGTTTTGTCAAAACTAAAAACATGGCATACAAGAAGCACTTTAATCAGGTTTAATTACCTCAGTACATGTGTGTTTTACAGGTAAAAAGAAAGCCCTAATTTTCTTGAACTCGTGTATTACTTATCTAGTGAATTCAAAATGCCTTGCGATTTAAGTTTTACAGGATGTTGCAATTGTGAATGGATTTTATTTAAAATTTACTACTCTCTGACCAGGTGTCATCTTTTTAATGAGTTTTCCACAAGCAGGAGGTATTACTTTTTACTAATTTTATTCATTTCTTTAATATTTTTATCTTGTTTTGATATATACTATATAATATATATATATATATCCCAAATTATGATAAGAATAGATATATTTCTGATATAAGGTTAAACAATTTCAGTGATTTTTTTGGCTGTTGTTACCTCATTAAAAAGATAGTTATATAGCTATTGTATGTTACAATGAAACCTATGAAGTTTTTTATTTAGGAATTTAGGAAAATTAAGTTTATAAAAAAAAAAAAAAAAATTTTTTTTAACAAGACTCTTAAACTTTAAAATTAATATAATTAAATATTATTAAATAAGATAATTTATCTATCTCGATTTGATAAATCTGAGAATCATGTAAGAATGTAAAAATCTGTTTTTATATATATTTTTATTTCATTGTGGCTGTTGTCATGTCAGTTAAAAAGAAAGTTATTTTAACAGTTAAAGTTAAAAAAAGTAGATGTTATTTGGTCAAGAATGGTTCAGACTGGTCGAGTATAGTTCAGACTGAAAAAAATAGGTCGAGTACAGGTCGAGAATGGGTTAAGACTATTTCAGACTGGTCGAGTAATAGTTCAGACTATTTTCAATGGCAAAGATAAGGGTCAAGTACAAATCAGTACAGTCTAGTATGTTAAGACAGGGGTCGAGTAATATCCAGTAAATTTCACACCAATTCAGACTGGTCGAGTAAAAAAATAGTACAGTCAAGTACAAATATAGGCCATTTCAGACTTTTACTGGTTTGTAGTGATCATGAAGCTTTTCGTAAATGTTTGACAAAGTTTATGATTTTTTGAAATTTTAGCTCAAGACTGTTTATTTCCTGTTGTTGCAAAAAGACTAAATATCATTTATCAGTAAAATACAGTAAAAATGCAAAAAAAAAGTAACAAAAAAGATATTTTCTCAAGCTTGCATTTGAAGTTTTCTTGTGAAGAATAATTGTCTGACTTAAAAAATATGGGGACTGGTAATTTAACTTAAAACGTACAGTACTTACAATATCCGATGCTCCAAGAATCACTGCCACAACCCTTTGCTGTAAGTAAAACAAAAAGTTGTAATGCAAGTATCTTCTCTGAAGATACTAAATGCAAGTAACCTTTTCCAGTGCCGGCTAATAGTTTTGGTACGTTTCATCGATTCGCACTTTTCACTCAGTGCATTTTATTAATGTATTGATATGGCTAGGTAAATAACATGAACAATGAGAGATACTTCTATATACCCACTTTCACTGACAAATTAATGTATGACAAGTTTTTAATTTAAAAATGATCTTGTGATACAATTACAAGAATGTAAATACCAAATGAAAAATTTGAATTTAAAATTTACTTTCGGTTTCAACTATGTCACCCTATATATCTTCATATTCTGTCGTTACAATGATAATAACACACACACGCACACATACACACACACACACACTAACAATATTGACTTGAAATCATACATCTTTGAAAAAAACAAAATAATGACAGAGGCAATTGTGTTATAATAGTTTCTTGAGGACAACAGTACGTAAACACTTACCCGATTCAAGATGTCTGAACAAAGTTCAAGTTCATTATATGGGAAGCTGTATGGAACAAAATATATTTCTTCCTGAATATTAATCGGTCAATGGTTTTATCGTATAGATAAATTATTTTCAATATTGGCCGTTGTTATCAGTTTGTGTTAACACCTTTATTTACAATTAAATTCAAGTGAGTTCAGGTTAAAATATATCTTGATATACTAGTCTGATCTGTAATTGAACAGATTGTGTCCTACTTCCGATTGTGACATTTTGATTTAGTATGAAAACAATGATATATATATATATATATATATATATATAAATCCTTTTTGATGAAAGGAAAATAAAGAAAAAATGTTTTTATGAAGGCTAAGATGTGACACTATATAAATAACACATAGCTGAGAGGGTGATAGAGCAGATTATTACCCCGAAAAACATTGTAAACCGCGGCGAAGCCAAGGTTGACAATGTTTTTTCGAGGGGTAATAATCTGCTCTATCACCCTCTCAGCTATGTGTTATTTAATTTATTTTACTGAATGTCCTATCATTATTGTCATTTAAACTTATATTATAAGTAATGATCTATGATGTCGTTTACAAAACAATGTACAGTTGAACCAAAATAACAAAAGTATTTTTTTTTGAAGTGACAATCAATGAAAAAACTTCAGCTTTGTCTTTAGAATCATTGATGTAAATGCAATGCATTGTCTTTTGAATTATCGATTTTTGATTGGTCCGCACGAGAGGGTGATATTCAAAAAATTATCTCCCGCTGAGCCACGGGATAGAGTAAATTGTCTCCCTCGTATGAACCAATCAAAATCTGGCATTTTAACGTAAAGTATACTAAATAAAAATGTTTTTTAAATGTATTTATTCATGTTATTATAGAAAAAGTTTGATTAAGTCCCCACAAAATGAATTCGGAATCAAATGAACTGTTTTTTTTTATAATTAGTTTTCATTATGTTTTTAATGTAGACGCATGTATAGATACATGTAAGCATAGTGTAGTCGACAAAACGAGAGTTTATCGTTTTCAGTCCTTAAATTGATGAGTTTTGTTTTAATCAATTTCCGCCAATATCACATTCACAAGAAAGACAAAAGACAAACAACAGTCAACAGAATATTTCATAGAAAACTAAAGGTTTAGCAACATGTCTCATACCAACAGAGAAGAGGTGTACTTTCGTGCTGTAGAGGAATCAGCAATTTGATGTGCTGAGTTGTCAATCCTAGAAAAAAAAAGTTACAAGTCGCATTCAGCGATCTTTATTTGACGAAAAAAAGTATGGGAATGTGTCTACGACAAGTGAAACATGTTGATCTTTTTTATATTACATCTCATATATCCCAGTGCGCTTGATATTTAGGACACTTTTTACAGTAAAAGGTCTGCTTCACATTTGGTATCTTGTCCTCAATATGGAAAGAGATCGGCGTCATCGAACTAGCATTTATGGCAAACTTAATTATTTCAACTTTTCAATTTTGTGCAGTTACATACTATTTGCCTCTTTGAAAGGCGTTTACAAATATCAGTTAATATGTAATGTATGCTCCTTCAAGTTCACACCATATGGACGTCGTTAATAAGAGTGTGCTTCTTTTACAAATAAATCGTAATCAGGGTTAAGAGGAACCGACTAAATTAGACACTACATATAAGTTTCATGGCGACTATCACTATCAAGATTAGTGACGGACGGTGTCTCAATTAACTAGCAACTTGTTTGTTTTATCTTAGATCGGTGGCAATATGATACAATCAGTAAAATTACAGATCAAAAGATCATACGTAACTATTGCCGCCTTAGTTGTTATATATTCAGTAATGGTCAACCAAATACTACTTGCATCTAAAAAACTTCAGAAGCGATAACGGCAACTTTATAATTCAAAATCCTTATTGCAGTAGCTTCTTTTCTTGTTGCAATAAGCCTCCATGAAGGATATCAAAACAGTTAAAGCAAGAAGTAAAAAAAAATTTCTCTGGAAAATATAATCATAAACTACATTTGGAGGTGCTGTGGAAGTGTAACGTGATAGAAATCTTTAAATACATCAAAGTTCAAGGCGCGAAATGTAAATTATCAATAAACCAAATGAGATATGTAAGATATGTATAGAACGCCACAGCTGCCTTATGATAACGATACTCATATTATTAAGGGTAGATATATATCATGAAGCAAATGTTCTAAACTATAACGACATTTGACTATAGTACTCTGTCAATTTGTTATATCACTAAGATAAATCTAAATACTATAAAGGCGTTTTGATATAACACGGAGTTACCTTTTCATACTATTCTGTCATTTTACTTTGTCGTGAAGATATCATGTCACACTATGAAGATATCTTGATATAACATGGAGCGACCCTTTCATACTGATTGACATTTTACTATATATACTATTCTGTCATATTACTATGTTACGACGATAAAGTCATATACTACAAAGACATCTTGATATAATATGGAGTCACCTTTTCATACTATCTTATCACCTCACTGTGCTATTCTAACAGATTTCTATATCATAATGATACATCTTTACACTATAAAGACGTACTGATATAACAGCAATACTGATCAAGGAATATAAAAAAGTCGCAAGTTTTATCGGTTACATATAATGATAAATTCGACGTGAATATGGCGGACGGACGAGTTTAGCAGGAAATTCTAAATTAACGGATGGAAGCACTTTTCGCATAGATTCAAGCTTGGTGAATATCTCTAGAAATTCTTTTTCAGTTATGCCATGAAATGAAGTTGTCCAAAACAGGTCAGACATGATGAATTGAAGGTTAGGTCGCTCTAAATATAGTACATCAAAGCCGATTAAATTACTTTCAATTGGAGGTGTGCAAGAATTTAACATTCCGAAGTTTATATTAGTACACATGTTGGAGATTGGATTTGAAATATCAGAAATTTCTAGAGTATTGCCCGTCTCTGAGAGAACAGTTTACAGAAGGATGGCCGTATATGATTTTAACAAAACTTCTTTCTCTGAAATACAAGATGAACTTGACAAAATTCTGATTGGAATATTAGTGACTTTCTACGGTACGGGGAAACCTATTTAAGAATTATGCTGAAGAAAAAAGGAATACATGTTCCGAGATGGCGTCTACGAGACAGTATGAAAAGGGTCGACGAAAACGGCACACACGAAAGACGGCTTCATAGGTGAATTTATGGTGTGGAGAAGGGTAGACTTAACTATCTTTGGCATAAAGACACATATCACAAACTGATTCGTTGGACATTCATTATTGTCGGTGGAATTGACGGTTACAGCCGATTTCTTATGTTATTGAAACGTTGTGTTTTTAACAAATAGTTAACAGTTTTCGCACTGGAACTAGGGGCCTCGGTGGCCGAGTGGTCTAAGTAGTTACTACTATAATCACTAGCCAGTCAACACTGAGGTTGTGAGTTCGAACCCCGCTCGTGCGGGTGCACTCGACTCCAATCTTAATTGACTAGGATTGTCAGTTTTCCTATCGAAGGTCGGTGGTTTTCTCCGGTCACTCCGGCTTCCTCCACTAATAAAAACTAGCCGCCACGAAATAGCCCAAAAGCGGTTCTTAAAAGTGGCGTTAAAACACCAAAAATCAAATCAAATCGCACTGGAACTTCCCGCTATGGCACACCCAAACGTGTTAGATCGGACAAAGGTTTAGAAATATCCTTGTTGCCGATTTCCTGCTAGGATTAAATGGACCAGGACACATGATTACAGGACCTATATAGCTAGCACTCTTAATCAACTCATTGAAATTCTTTGGCGTGATCTCTACGAAGGCGGTCTATGTTATTTTTACCATATGTTTTAGACGCATTGAACCAGTTTCATTTGATGGTACTGCATTACATATTCATGGATGATATTAACAGGAAAATCGAAATTTTGGTAGGTGCTTGTAATCGACTTCGTACAACTAGGTCATCACCATTGGCTCTTTTGGTAGCAGTTCAGCTGCAAAACACAGTCGGTGCAATACCAGAATTTGATCTCCAGTATGTATTATGGTGTAGAAGGTTTCGATAATTCTAGTTTGGAGCAAGATGGTAACAGCAGACCAGTCTTTTGTCTAATTTCCGAAGCCTTGTGGTAGAGATACAGAGATTCACTTAGGACTTCTGTACCTTTTCCAAACACCACCAAGAACCATGGAATAGACGATTTCATCAAATGTGTAAATGTTATTTCTCAGAGACAACTATAAAACCAATCTCATTGTAATCTTTTGAAATTACCAATAATCAAGGTAGCCTTGTCCTATAGTTACCAATCTTACAAGAATATGAAAAAAAAAGGATAAAGGGTATGCGTCAATGAGACACCATCCTTATGGAACGGAACATGGCAAAATTCCATCATCTAGGGGTCGCCGTGTGGTCTTCAACATGGAACAACAGTCCCTACCACATAACAAGCACTAAATGGCCCGAAATAAATGTGAAAAATTGAATCATAGCCACCACAATTCCTTAAATAAACAAAGTATTTGACATAAAGACATAGTCTTAGATGCATGATTTTTTCATTAGTTGTAATTGGCGTTGAACTAGCTGTCATTAACTGCGAGTACTCTCAGATCTGTACTTATTGTCGTTCTGTTGTGTGGATGTACAAGTACCCGTCCACGTCCAATCTGTATTTTTTAGAGGTATTTTTATTTGTATCCATCTGATGAGTTAAGCCTTTTCAACTGATTTTTATAGTTTGTTCTTATGTTGTACTGTTACACCACTGTCCTAGGTTTGTGGGGGGGGGGGGGGGGTGGGGGTGGGGGGGGGGGGGGGGTTCACGCCATCAAACTAGTTTAACCCCATCACATTTTGTATGTGCCTGTCCAAAGTCAGGAACCTGTAATCCAGTGTTTGTCGTTTGTTGCTGTGTAATATATTTGTTTTTCGTTCATTATTTTGTACATAAGTAAGTCCGTTAGCTTTTTCGTTTCAATTGTCTTACATTTGTCATTTCGGGGCCTTTAATA